CAGAAGGAAGGCGAACTAGTTTCTCACCAATTCTGCCTATGTGCTCTGACTTTGCCTTGGCAATGACTCTTTTGAAGGACCTAGAGGCGGAATTATACTTCTTTTTTAGAGCGCTGGTGTTTACATCCCGGGACGCTGATGCATCAGCCCAGGCTTGGTAACACTCCTGCTTATAGCATGATGCTATTTTACAGGAGCGACCAAACCATGGCTGAGACTTGCCTCCAATGGGCACCACAGAGGAAGGAATAAAAAGTTCCATACCCTGAAGTACCACATCAGCGACAGAATCCGCAACAACGTTGGGATCGTCCGACGAGAAGCAAACCCGCCCCCAAGGGTAGGATGCAAAGAAAGACCGCATCCCATCCCAATCGGCTGACCTATAGTGCCAAACACGGCAAACGTTATATTTATAGTGCCAAAACGGCGGCAGCCTGCAGAATGCAACCGCGATTTCAGCGTGAGTGGCACCACACTCCGGACCAGACAATGGTCCGAGGAGCCTAAAGAGGCGTCGACGGAAATCTGATATCCGTCCGGGTGAGAGGTCAGCAGAAGGTCCAACAGGGAAGGTGCATGATCCTCCACATCTGGAATCCGCGTAGGCGAAGTAACCAGTTGTGTCAGACCATATGCCAAGGCAAAATCATGAACAGATCTCCCCGCATGATCGGTTAAACGTGAACTAAGCCATTCGGCGTGATGGGCGTTAACCCTTAATAGGGCATGGCTAAACTGTGGATGTTTGCAAAAGTTTCAAAGCTAGTATGTAATTAGTGGTACATACAGATTTAGGATTTCATATCAGTATTTTTTTACGTGTTTTCAGTTTTTCAGGAAACTATGTGGGAAAATAATTCCTGTTGACCGATTACATTGTAACCTTTGGTGATTCCTGGGAAATTATTTCCCAACTAGTGGGAAATATATTTCATACTTACATTACATATTAGGAACAGTTAGTCAGACTAAGATAATTGAAGTAAATAAAAACACTAAATTGAAAGATAATATCTCATTTATTTTATTTGTGAAACATTTCAAAACAAGGGGCAGCACATAAAGATACCTTGCAAACTTTACACATATATTTGCTGCGTTGCTCCTTTTCACGTGTACTACACATTCTGCATCTTCGAAATTTGGTCAATTCGGGCATGTGGGATCCTACGTCCGATTTTCGAATCTCTTCCGGTACTGAAATGGAACCTCCTTTTTTGTTTTTGAACACGGGCGCGAGGATTTTTCTTGATGAAAAATTGTTGATGAGTCCTCTGCCCAATCGCAACCGGAATTCTTTATGGGTGTTTCTCCTTTCTGAATGTGACGTCATATAAACAATATGAGAATTGATGACGGCTGCCTTCAACAAGAACCAAAAGAGTCTGTGCCAATTCTTCCGCGACTTTCGTCCTAGGGGGTATGATGCTCTAAAGTGATCAAAATGATCAACACCACATATGAACTCTGTATATTTTTTAATCGAAAGTGGACAGTATATTTTCTTCTTGCTACCATCTTTCTGTTTCCTCTCAATCAATTCAACTGCTCGAGGATCAAACGCAGTAGTTCCAAGAAAAACATCTTTAGTATCTTTCCATTTCAATACTCCTATAGGTGTATTATACTGATATATAAACTCACCAGGTCTCAAAGCTGTTTCTTTCTTTTCTTCGCGGGTTAAATTTTTTCCTGTTATCAAATCTGGTAAGCCCTTACGGTTCATTCTTAGTGTTCCAACACAGTAAATGCCTCTTTCATGTAAAAGTTCCATCAGTGGCAGACTGGTGAAAAAATTATCAAAAGCCACTAATGTATGGCTTGGCAGAGATTCACACAAATCCATTATGACTCTGGCCCCTAAATTCTCTTCAGTTCCAGTATTAACTTTACCAGTATAAAATTGAAATTCATATAAATACCCCGTAAGAGAATCTGCTCTTGCCCAACACTTGTACCCACGTTTTATAGGTTTTTTGGGCATACTGCTTCATGTGACTACGACCTTTGAACCTGATCATACTTTCGTCTATTGAATTAAACTCTGACACTTGAACATTGTCTTGAAAAACTTTGTTTAGGATTGAAATGGCAAGTCTAATTTTACCCAATTTATCATAATCTGGTGAGTTTCGTGGAGCTTCTGTGGAAATATTTGATATATGGAGATTTTGTGTTATTTTTTTTAAATCTTTTTGAGGGCATTACTTTGCAAATAACAGGATTTCTGAAAAACTCATCAGTTGACCAATAAGTATTTATATCTGCTAATGGATTTATGCTCATTAGTATAATCACTCCTAAGTATGCTTTTATTTCTTCTTTTGTAACTTCAGTCCAAGCTTTTGAATGTGTGTGTCTTGCATAAATATTTGTATTTTCAACAATAATATAAAGTAACTCATCAGGGAAAAAGTCAAGAAAATAATCCAGTGGTTGACTTCTATTATTGTAATTTTTTTTATCTGCATTTTCTTCTCGAAAATAGGCCAAGTAATATCATCAGTTGCAAAAGACCAATCTCTTGATTTATTTTGAAATCGAATGAATTTATCCCTAGAGAAAGAAGATGTTGGTTCTGCATTAGAGCTTTCATCAGGCTCTGCCAATAGTGGTACTGGGGAAGAGTGGTCTGCCTGGCCATCAGCTACAGAAACAAGTGAGGTTGTTTCACCAGGATTTTGATCAAGTAGCATAGGAACATCCGAAATCACATGAGAAGGGCCTGCATGGACTTCAGCGATTGCATCTTGTGAAGTTGAAGCCACTTGAGGAAGAATCGGCTTAAAAATCTGTTGAACTGGTGAATTCAAAAAAGTTTCATCTTGGATAAGAGACAAATCTGATTCTCCCACCAATAAAGAATGTAATTCTTCGACAGAAATACCTTGAATCTCATCCAAACGCTTGTCTAAATCGACATTGTAACTACTGGTGGCAAAAGAGTCAACTGCTTCATCATCAAGGTTTTCTTCTTCCGATGAACAAAGTAGCTGTGACAGCTGGATCTCAATTTCAGAATCGTGAAGTGGTTTCTGAAACGTAAAACAGTGCTTATGAGATAAATAGAAATCCTGCATGCTTCCTACGGAAACAGTTTTCCCACATAAATCGTTACGTAGGAAACTTAAACGGGCAGCAGGCAAATATTTCCCACATACTTTGAATCCATCAAACCAAGTCATTTTTTGTTATTTGGAAAAATAAAACACATCAACAACTGAAAAAACATTACATCTATGCAAAATAGAACACTTACCGGATTTTTTCTCGACATATTATCTATTTCATTAACAAAACTGCATAACAATATAATTACCGGTGAGTAATTATTGTGACAATGACGTTGACATCTCTTTTTTTATTTTTTCTTTCGTTCGAAAACACGATCACAGGCCTATAAAACATAGATAATATATTCAACTACGAAATGACAGTGACAGCTCATGGAAAAATACGTCCCATTGACCGTTTAAACTGTGAAATTCAATGTGGGAATAATGTTCCTATTGCCTTATTAAGGGTTAAAGTCGCCGAGGATCACGATCTCTGTGGAGGGGATCCGCTGTAGCAACGAATCTGTAGCCATTTGGACGAGGTCGAATAGTCGGTCTGTTTCGGCATTACCGCTATGGGACCTATAGAGGCACCCGTAGACGCGCGGATGGTCGTCGCTGTCTACGCGTAGCCAAAGGATGGACAGGTCCGAACCTTCAAGTCTGCCGAGGCGTCGAGAGCAGATGTCCTCTGACGTAAACTCCAGCCCGAGGCACAAAGGAGTATTCCAGTTTGTACCCCGAGTAGGAGAGATACGAGACATCAGACAGAGAGGACACCTGCATCTCGGTCAGAAAGAGCAGAACCGGCCTCGCTGTCTCGAGATGGTAGTGGACGGCGTTTAGGTTAGAGTGAAGTCCCCTGATATTGCAGAAATTCACGGACAGCGTGGCAGGGGTCGCCTTGGTCTTGTTGCTCCGTTTGCCCCGAGCAGTTGTAGTCTTGAGCGGAATTTTGCCCCCCACCCCAAAATATGCAGGGCAGCCTGAGCACCCACGCTCAGAAGTGGAGAAACATAGTCGTGGCTGCTCAGCGAGGGATTCTCCTGGGGTAGTCTATCATCATTTAATTCGGATACCATGTTGATGGGGGGAGGGATGGGGGGGACTTCATGTAGTCTTGTCTGCCCTACCTCTAGTGTTTTTGTAAAGCTATAGACGCGGAGGGAGAGCAGCCCCTGCCAACTGCAGCAAATTACAGGCTCCTGTATGAACTATAATGGCTGAGGCTGGTCACCAAAGGCGACCAATAAGCCAAAGCTACGGAGGCTAGTATGGGTGACTGTGATTTGCTACACAAGGGCAAAGGGGCTGCACTTCCCACAGTGCTGAAGTTGAAGTTGCAGAAGGAACTTTGTGTTAATATTTTCTAGTGTAAGTGAGGTTATGATTTTACAAAAAAAAATTATTACACATAAACTATACATTTCTACAAATGGGGAAGGGTATGGGGGGTTTCTCCTGAACCTTCCTCCTCCCCCCTCCCAATCCCACCACTGACCGCGAGTACCACCGGATGTCCATAGGATAACCCAGAGATTTTATACTAACCAGTGATAATACTTATATTAAATAAAAATTATTATACTACAATCAGAAGACTTTTCCTGTCACCCTACTTAGCTATAAGTTATATTTTAAAGCTTATTCAAGTGACTCAGCATTTCAATAAATCTAACACACTCAATTGAGGGAAGGCGGGAGGGGTTTTTCAAACTAGGCAAGACACATCATTTTATTTCATTGTGTGGATAGTAAAATTAATCTTTTACAGTTTTAATATAATGGATTTCCATAAACCAACGCCTGATTATATTCATTATTTTCGATTTTTATAAAACATTGTTCAACACAACAGTCTCAAATTTTAAGCTTTTATTTAGTTTATTCATTGTAAAATTATATTTGTTAATAAGGTAGTTAAGTATGAATTTTACTTACTGCAAGGCTGTCCTATTTTGGTAACAAATGTGATATGACCTCCAGGAGAAATTTTAACTACTTCGCCGGTCATAAGTCCAGTGTAAAGTTCACCATCAAATATTCGAAAAGCTTCAGGTCCTTTTAATTTGTCCTTGAATAACTGTTGTGCATTATTTAAAGCTTCATTCGGTGATAGGACTCCAACTCTAGGCTGAGTTGGTTCGAGCCTTAAAAAAATTAAGTTGGGTATTACTACTTTCACATAACGGTAAATTATGTACACAAAGTGGAAACTCACTCTATGTTGGTGAACTTTGTATATGGAGGCAAATTAGGAATAACAAGTATAACTACAATAAATAATGCAAAATATAATAACAATTTAAATATTCGTTTTAAAAGTCCTATCAAAAGCCCCATTTTTACAATTAAACTTTGCCTAAAAAGGCAAACGAACTAAAAAATGTCCGACACGTCGTGTGTCTTTGCTTCAACGAATGATATCCATAGATAAATAAATATGTAGCAAGCTAATGATATCCATAGACCATAGATTTCTGTGATGACATCTGTTTTTTTTATTAACTGGCTTTACGGCTCTAGGATCTAGCCTTTCTGATCATTTCTTTTGGAAACTTCATTTTATATTATTTTTCTTCACAATATGCTGATGCGTCACATTGCGAAGCCCTTGGGAGATTTTGATGACACAGCTCAAGCTAGCGGACAGTTGATGACGACAGCCACTCAAGTTCATAAGGCGCCCAAAGGATCAAAATAACTTGAGCCTTATATCGACACTAAAGCATTTTTTTCGTCGTTTTCTATTTTATTACTATTAGATAGTTCACACGCGCGGACTCTTAACTCACAAAATCGTATAACTTTTACGAATCAAAATCCACTTCAAACAATTATTTAAGCGACAGAATAGGAGCGAAGATGTGATAGATGAATTGATCTACGGCCAAGTTCCCACAAAAACTCCCTAGATCTGTTAATTATAGCTATTAACATGGAGGTCAGAGAACAGGAGAACGATTGACGAGCGCACAAGAGGCCGCTTTTATGGAGACAACTTAGCGATCGCAACGTTTCACTTATTTTGTCCATATTTCTTGAACACTATTTTCTACAGCGATCGCTCTCCTTTTCTATAACCTCTATTAGCGGCCTGTTGTGCGTTAGTTTGAAATGATCTATCAAGGTTTAATATACATGTATATAATATCATTCAAAAAAAGAAGAAAATGACGGAATTATTATATATTATTATTATTATTTATTAATAAATAAATTATAAATTATGTTTTTATAATTTAAATTATTATAAATATTATAAACTTTGAGAATTTACTATAACTTGCAAATCCTTTAATTAACCTTAATTTCAACAATTTTAAAAAGTTCAATAAAGATTAATTTAGTATTAAAAAAAACCATGAATAATTAAGCAAATAATAATTTTACATATTTAATATTTGAATGTGCTGCAAGGAATCGATAACGTATGAAGATATTACCTTTGGTACTTTAAATAACGATGATTGACGCAAATTGTTTTTCAGTCTATTTTTCCGATAACGAAATTATTTTTTTTTTTACATACATAAACACTCACGCCTGTTACCCAGAGGGGTAAGCAGAGACTACAGACTTCCATTTGGCACGATCCTGACACACCTCTCTTGCCTCCTTCACATCCATACACCTACGCATACACGCTCGTCGGTTAAGGGTACTCCTAATTTGGCCCGTTTTCAATAAATCGCCAATTTGGTCGATAAATTTTTGCCTAGGACGTCCCTTTCCGACTCTGCCATTCACTTCTGCACCATAAATTTTCTTTGTCACTCTTTCCTCATTCATTCTTTCCACATGACCAAACCACCGAAGCATTCCTTTCTTAATCCTGGTCACAACATCATCTTGCAAACCACACTCTTCTCTTATTACACAATTTCTTACCCTGTCATTCAGATTCAGCCCTAACATACTCCTTAACGACCGCATTTCTACTGCATTTATTCTACTCACGTGCTTCTTCTGCCACACCCAACTTTCACTACCATTCGTTAAAGTAGGGACCAACACAGCATTGTGAATTGCCATACGTGCCTTTTTCGACACATTTTGACTCTTCACAATAGAGTGCAAGGCCCCATTTACTCTATTTCCCACATACACTCGTCGTTCTATATCCTTATCATATCTCCCATCCCTGCTAAATACGCAGCCCAAATATACAAACTCATCTACTTGCTCGATCAACTCCCTCTCTCAACTCTATTCTTATTTCACAAATCGTTTTACTTTCTTCTCTTTCAAAAATCATAACCTTCGTCTTACTTGCGTTCACTTTCATACCCCTTTCTATTAATGATCCGTTCATTAATGTAACCATCATTTGCAACTCGGCCGCCGACGACTCAAGAATAACTTGATCATCGGCGTACAAAAGGCATTTGACGGTTAACTTACCCATTCTTAATCCGCATTCTTCAACTTTCAAATTTTGCAAACAACTGTCCATAAATATGTTTAACAGCCACGGAGAAGCCACACAGCCCTGTCTGACACCTTTATGGATGTCAAACCAGTCCGATTAGACCCCGTTGATCCTAACACAAGCACTAGAGTCCCTATAAAGAGACTCCAATGCCTGTATCAAGCCAGCGCTCAACCCAAATGAGTTCAGTGTTTGCCATAGCAAATCCCTATCCACTCTGTCATAGGCCTTTTCCAAGTCCATGAACGCACAAAAAACCTTCTGGTTTTTGGTCAGAAACTTCTCCGCGATCATGCGCATGGAAAAGACTTGATCTGTACATCCCATTCTTTCTTTCTAAATCCCGCTTGCACATCCCAAATTTTTCCATCAGTTTCTTTCATGACCCTTTCAATCAGTACCTTAGCGTACAGTTTTCCCACAATGCTAAGAAGGCTGATGCCACGGTAGTTTTTACAGTCCTGCTGCGACCCTCTTCCTTTATATACTGGGACTATTACGGCTTTGCACCAGTCTACCGGTACCCGTTTCAGTTCCTAGCATAAATTAAACAAGGTGTGCAGCAGGCCTGCCACCACTTCCTCTACAGCCCTTAGAATTTCGAGTGAAACTCTATCATATCCGGCAGCCTTACCTGCTTTCATGCTTTTCATTGCTTTCATTATTTCATCTATACGTATCTCGCTACCTCTTTCCTCTTCTTTCGGTGTTTCTACTCCACTTAGTACACACGTTGTCTCCTCACTCATAAACACGCTTTCAATATATTCCTTCCATCTCTTTAAACTCAAAACTTCATCATTCAGAATATAGCCATTCTCGTCTCTTATAGCATTCATCATAGGCTGTTTTGAATGTCCCCTGGCAGTTCTTACAAGTTTCCAGAACATTTTAATATTTGCCTGGAAGTTATCCGATATTCTTCTATCATTCTTATCCGTTCTTTCTTGCTTTTTTCTTTCAACTACTTCTTTTACTCTCTTATTAATATGTCTAAAGACTGCCTTTTTTCTTTCAATATCACCATTCGTACCGCCAGAATTACCAGCCTTTGTTGCTAGTAAATCTAGCCATGCTCTCTTCTTTGCTTCAACTTCCATACGTATCTCATCATCCCACCATAACGTATTATTTTTCCTTTAATTCTTTATCTTACTAACACCACATACTTCGGTAGTTGCATCCACTAAACCTTTCTTTACATTTTGCCATATATTCTCCAAGTCTAACTCCTTCATACATAATTCATCCAAACCACTTATATTTTCTTTCAGTCTACTTTTGAACTTGTTTTTATCACTTTCATCTTGTAATGTTTCTGTTCTAATACGCTGTAACGCAGTGGTAGACACAAACGATCGATGGCGCCAATGCCTGAATAGACCATTAATTCGGCATAAAACTAAAAATAATGATCCGTTCCTACGTTAGAACCCCGGTAAACCCTCGTATCTACCACTGCGCCCCTCAATCTTTCATCCACAATTATGAAATCTATCATGCTTCTATCGTCACCTCTTTCCCAAGTATACATGTGAATCCTCTTGTGGCGAAAGCAAGTGTTCGTCACAAAAAGATTCTTTTCCATACATACGGTGAAGAGACTTTCACCATTCTCATTTATACTTTCATCACCAAACGTTCCCAATATTCTTTCATAACCAAGCCTCCTCACGCCAACCCTTCCATTAAAATCTCCTAGCATAATAATATTTTCATTTCCCTTACACTTCATTAACACCATCCTTACCATTTCCCAAAACTGCTCTCGGATATAAGTGGGCTTAGACATGTCTGGGGCGTAGACCCCTAACACAAACAACTTCTTCAAGCCCACTTTCATTCGTATCCATAGCAGTCTTGGGCTTACACATTCATACTCTTTCACACATTGGCCCATTCTTTCTGAAAGGATGATACCTACTCCCTGGCATGCCCGCTCGATATCGTCTACACCAGACCAGTATGCGGTATACATGCCATGTGTAGTGACATCCTTCCCCTTCCTTTTCGTCTCATTTACGCATTACACATCTATTCCTCTATCATACATCATATCGCATACTTCATCCATTTTATCATTCATTGCCTCACATACATTCAACGTAGCCAGACGGGCCTCTGCAATCCACTTTTCGCCTCTCCGGGAGACAGAACGTGACGGGTGGCGAACCTCGTCGCCGGTTTTCCTCCCGGAGATTCTTCGCACCCCTGCCCCATTAAAGGGGCGCCGGGAACTCGGGGCCATTTCTTTATTTCGATTCCTCATGGTGCGAAATGGTGTGGTATATTTAACGCCGCTACCACGGCGTGGAGCCGAGTCTGTGGTATCGGCTTGTTTCTCATTTAGCACCACCCGGGGGACACGTGTAGGGTGGGCCTAGGAACAGGTGGTCAAAGCCTACGGACGCGAGCGACTTATCCCCTTTTTTATTATTTTTTTATTATTATTTATTAATAAATAAAATTAAAATTATGTTTTTTTATAATTATGACAAATATAAATTATTAATTATTATTGATTAATAATATTTATTTTCTTAAAATAAATAAAATAGAAAAGTACGGAGCACGATTATTTTCGATTAAATTACTTCATCAACTAACTTCATCTACTTGTACTCATAAACAGCTAACTTTTCAGATACTACTTACCTACTTTTCAGGGACAGGCGGGCTAATGCTTTATAGCCATGATATAAGAAAGTTATATCAAAGTTTATAGCATGGAGTATAGAAGTAAGGAGACCAATCTCCCATAGGAGAATAATAGAAAATATGTCCATCTCTAAGCAGTAAATAACAGTTCAAAAACTCTCCACATCAGCGCTCGAGTAGCTGGGTATGATAAATCGCCGTAAAATACATTGAGAGCGATTTTGAAAAAAACGTTTTGAAAGTAATAAAATAA